GGCTTATATACCCACAGGAATTCATTAACACCCTTCTACTTACTTTTGGTTAGAAGCACTCTGAAGATGTGACATTTTTATTGCGGTATAAAATACAATTTCTTTTCCAGAATTTTCTTGTTTCCCGTCTCCCATCATCACTTCTAACCATAATAATGGTCCTGAAATTTGCACATTTTGAGAGTGGAATTGTCTGATAAATGATATTGAATCCTATGGTAAACAGAATAATCCCTTTTTAAATGAAGATTTCCAAATTTTGTATTCCTTCAAGTTAACAATGGCACATCCACTGTGACACTATTGCACATTGCCCAAAGTCTAGTGACAAGGTGGCTGAGACTTGTGCTAGTCCTCAGGAGATTTACAGCCCCATGGGTAAAGATAACACAAAGCCACTGGTGAAAATGCACACATTTTTTGAAGAGAAGAGAGACTGTATTCTAAGTGTGAGGAGGGAGGAGAACTCCACTCATCTATAGCAGTACTGGAAAGGAAGGGTGAGCATGTCTGCTCGAACACAGGGAACATAACTGGTCATGCTTGCAGAAAAGGATGCTTCCGGAAAGCTTTCCAGGGTGACTTCACATTGCTCTGATCCAGTCTGCCACCACCTGCTTTTTTCACTTCTTATATCCGACGAGACTCCACCTGGTTGCCTGGTGTTATTGTTGCTATCAATTATTGAGCACTTACCATGCCCTCAATGCATTTCTTCATGTGCTTATCACATCAACTCCATTTAGCAAATGAGAACCTGATATGATTTGTCCAAGGTCGTATATAGAGTAAGTGGTAGAGATGGGATTCGAGTCCAAGCAATCTGGCTCCAAAACCTATGCTCCTGTTCCCTGTACTTCTATGTCTCTGATAATTACACTAATAGTAACAACAATGATAATAGTAATGATGTCATGTTCGGAGAGTTTACTAGAGTGTGGGTGTTTGATGAGGTAGGTATTTTATTACCACATTAAAGGTAAAAAAGAAATGATAGCTCAGAGAGATTCAGTAGCATTCCCGAGGCTGGGCAATTGGTAAGTAGTGAAGCAAGGTATATTCTGCAAAATAGGATCTCCAAATAAGAGATTAGCCATGGCTGTTCAAGTGTGGAAACCACCGTACCTCTAGGAGATTTGCAGTACCTGTCAAGATATTAGAAGTCTCCTACCAAGGCTGCAGGCTGGAGTCTGGTTAGCTTTGATTGTGTCAGTGTTTCTGAAACAGGTTTAACTATGGGACTTCTTCCAGTGTCTACAATACTGTTCAGAACTAGCACTGCATTCTGTGAGGATGAACTGAATTTAATCATACTCACTGGATATTAGCCAGGCTCAGTAGGCTTGGGAATAAAACTGGAAAACCAGGTTTCCACTTGCACCAGAGTGTTGAGAACCAAATACTAGAGAAACACTCTCCAGCTTTATCATGCCCAGTAGGTCAAGCTAGTTGGGAAGCCAAGATGTAAAACTGACATATGCATTTTGGGGGGCACGTTATCTTGTGGGAGGTAGGAGTAAAAGCAGACAAATCCCGGGAGTGCTCCAGAACCAGGCCGTTCACTCCCCACGGGCAGACTAAACTTACCACCATGCTAACCCAAAAGTACAGCACCTGCCTCCCAGCTGGCCTTCCTTGCAGCACTGACGCCATGTAGCCCCTTTCCTGCTTGTCACTAGAGGCTGTACAGATTTCTGGTTATCAACCTAATGGTGACAATGATTCGTGCTGTTTCATATCCTTCAATCCTCAGTACAATTAAAATCCAAACTCCTTCACATGATCTATAGGCTTGAAAGAGCAGGCTCCGCCTATTACTGTATTCCAAAGTGGCTCCACCTACTACACTCCAGTCAGCCATTCACCTTCCAGTTCCTCAAACATCCATGAACTCCCCTGCCTCAGTCTTCCACATTCTCTTCTCTGTGTAAAGCATTAGTCTCCATTTTCCTTTCCACTTGGACAATTTGCTCCACATTGATCACTGGTCATACCATACTTTCCCCACAAGTCTTCCTTGAAACCACCTAATCTGGGCTGGAGTCCGCTCTCACTCACCCCCTATCCAGTGCCTTACAGTTTCTCTATCAGCATACTCATAACACTGTTTCATAATCATCTTTTCACTTCTAATATCTACCACTGTGTACGTACCTAGCTTGCAGTTATTAGGCAGTTCCCTATTCAATGTATCTATCTCTATCTCAGATGGCAGCATAAAATGGCAAACCATAGAAGTCTTAAAGGAGAAAGCTGGACAACATTAACTGCATTGAATGCACATTTAGGGTCTAAAATTAGTTTAAAATAATTGAATAATGAACCAGTTCAACCAGTAAAGTTTAATATGAATACAGGAAAAGCCTTAAAATTGAACTAAAAAGAAGAAAACAATTGCAAAAGAAAATAAGATCAAATAGCAACATGGCAAGTGACTTGTAGGGATCCCAATTGAATTTCAATCCACTATCAATAGAAATGACTTTAGATTGTAGTTTTAAGGATTTTGCTTCACTAGATACGATATACATCCATAGCAAAGTGAGTGCTAAAACCACTATTGGTATCTTGAGGTGAAACAATAGAAATATAGCATTTATTTTATAAGATATAATGGTCTTGTTGTACTTTTCTGGGGAAACCATCACAGGAATAATGTATTTAATTCTATGGGAAACACTTCAAAAGAAAAATTGACAAATGAAATACACTCCAAAACAGAGTGATAGGTAAAAGTTTTGGAAATAGTTTCTTAAAAACTATTGGAGAAGTGGAAATTTTTACTGAGAGGACACTGAAGAGTCATATTTAAATCCCAGCAGAGCACCAGATGAAACGAGTGGATGAATTATTCTATCCTTATGCAGAAGTCATGACCAAAATTGATGGTTAGAAAGTTTACCAGGAAGCAGATGTTCATTTTAAGAGGAACAGAGTTGTTTAAAAATGCACCATCTGTCCCATGAGAGACAGTGAGCTCCCCATTCAGTCAGAGGCTGGAAGCACAAGTACTAAGCTTTCATGAGGTGGTCTCACTTAGCACATAGCAGGTCTACCAGATGGCCCTGAAGGTACCTTTGCCCCTGAGATTTCATGAAGTTGTGACTAATGATCCTTCAGTTGGTACTGATACATGAAGAATTAATTAAACCCATTTCTGAGGACTTAGGATTTTTGATACTAAAAAAAATCATTAGAAGGCTCTGTGCTAAGAAGGAGAACCAGAGGAGCTGATTGTCAAAGCTGTGTCACCTAGGACATTTATGTTACTCCAACTGTGTCTTGGGCTTATATAATTCTGGGGATTGTGACTTTAATAAAGTCAGACAACTTAGGATGGAGGTAGCTTGGAAAAGAGAGGTCTAGAAAAATTAAACATCTTCATTCCACCGCATTAATGGAAAGCAAGTGCTCTCCAGGGGAACCACGCACTATGACATGGGTCTGATATGCGGTAGAAATAAAGGTATGTCTTACATTTTCTGTTGGCTGTAGTGTCTCAGTCACAGCAGCCTGTGGAACACCACCCATGTAAGGTGACTCCATCAGAAATGAGTCTACACTTGTAGCCCCACTATGTGCCAGGCCCATTAAGCTGTGTGTCATTTTGTCTTCATAGAAGTTCCTAAGGGTTTTAATACCCTTATTTTGACAGTGAGAAAAATCATTCTGAGAGCTAAAGTACCTTACCTAGGTCACTTGGAGACCTGACATTCAAACTTGATATTGCCCAAATTGTGAATTTATCAAGACTGCGTCAGCATTTCCTAGAATTGAGAGGCTCTTAAAGAACCTGACGCTTTGGTTTTGCCATTGAGGAAAAGCAGGGTGCAAGGGAACAGAGGTCCTGCAAGGGGTTCCTATGCAAACAGGAGAGATGCCTCTGTGGGCATACAGCCAAGCTGCGTTGCTTTCTCTGTACTGTATCTGCAGTGATCAAAGCTAAGCATGTAGCAGGCAGTGATGAGGGCAGGGGACCAGGTTTCCCCATGCACCTATCCAACCTTCTCTCCAAATACAGAGAAATCAGTCTGCAGATTCTATCTGCTAAACTATAGTACAGATGGGTACTGTTACCCTTCTACAAAGTACTCAGAAGTTAAACTCTGTTCAGGGTTATCATGCATCAGAATCAGGCTCTTGCTAACTTCTTTTATCCATGTCATCTCATGTCACCTTCCACTGTGTCATCCCGAGTGGTGTTAGTCTGTAAAATAAAGGTTGGGGTCCTCATTTTATGGTGAGGAAATGAGTTCAGGAAACATATTCGAAATTAAACGACTAATAAATGCATAACTGAATGTAGTCTCCTAATTCCAAAAGGCAGAGAAAAAAACCTATAAATCATGGCCTCAAACAGATCAAGGTTTAACATCCAGAGGAGCCACAGAGTAAAAAGAGAAGCAAGGATGGTTTCTCACCGTGCAAATCATACTTATCACATAGAAATGTTAGCTTCCTCTCTCCAGACTTGTTTCCTCTCTTTCCTGCCTTTGAGGGACCAGATCTACTTTTAGAATTACAGAAGGAGGAGACATTTGACCCTTCCTAAAGTAAGAGGATTTTGGATTAATGGCCAACTCTGTCCTTAGAGCAACCCTTTGAGGCTTTGTCACATTGAAAATTGAGAGTGACTGTGTCCCATAGGGAGGCACAGTCATGATGAGAAGAGACGAACATAACAAAAACCAGCATGAGACTAAGAATCTAAAAACTCGAACTTTGGCCCTTGTGTCTCTGTTTCTAGATCTGTAAGATAGACATCTGTCTCTCCCCAAGTGAGTATCCTGTGATCTGAAATGAAATCATGGGACAAAAAAGCTTTTTAAAAAGCTCTCTTCCAAAGCAATAATGTCATCTGTCTCCACCTTCCCCATATACTGTTCAGTTCACCAGACATTACTCCTTCCCATCCTCAGGAAAAATAATCTTTTGATTTTTTGAGCTTGCGTTTAAACTAGAGTTGCTTAATGGTTTCCTCCAATTTTCTCCATATGCAGACTACCTGAATGTCACAGCTGTTCACCTATTCAAAGAGAAATGGGACAGCAACAAGATAGATCATCACACTGACAAGTATGACAACAGCAAGTTGATTGTCCGGAGAGGGCAGTCTTTCTACGTCCAGATTGACTTCGATCGCCCGTATGACCCAAGGAAGGACCTCTTCAGGGTGGAATATGTCATCGGTGAGTGCCAAGGGCAAGCCCTAGTCTGGATGCCGTGCATTAGAGTACAGAGTGGGGTGGGCACAGGTGCAGTTGCATTGCTTCCCAGGGTCGCATCTAACCCTGCTGGGTCTAGGATTACATCTAACCCCTGGACACTCTCTGTTGGGTCTGCAGCACAGGAAATACCAAATAATTTGAGCCTACTCTAGTGAAAAATCTAAGTGTAATAAAAATAAGCACAATTGGTAGAAAATGTTAGTTAAAATTCATTTTCTGTCTTTTGGCTTTGGCATCCTATAGTTAAGACTTTTAATTTATTACCGTGACTTAATTGCTTTTTTGTGCTGAATATATTTGCAAATTGGAGCATAAACCTCCACTTGTGGACATACAAGTTGATTCAGGTTTAATGTAGTCTCATGGGACCAGCCATGAAAAATAGATGGTCCATTAAAGTTCAGAAGATACTATCTTATAATCTCTTAATGATTGACAGTTCACATTAGTTTCAAAGGTTCCAGGAAGTACCATATATATTTATTTTTTTTAGATAAAAAAAGAAAAACAGAAAAAAAAAGGGTAGAAATAATACAGAATTTCAAAAATAAACAAATAACACTAAGAAATCACTAGTTGATAAATTACATATTGTTATCTTAGAAGTAGTTGCTCAAGTTACAAAATCGAAGCACAAAAAGTGGACAATCAAACAATGACAGTACAAACTAATGGGAAGAACCATTTAACTGTTTGGCCCAATAATTCTCAAATTAATTTGATCACGGAGACCTCTCATTAAGTTACAGATATTGACATCTGAGACATTTTGGAAATCATTTCACTAGGAATTTATGAGCGTATCAAGGAAGAAGGGCACATAAAAGCAAGGGTGGCTCAGTGTAAGGAAACCTGCCTACATCATCGTACACAACTTAAAGAGAATCAAAAAATTAAGCAATTAGGTCAATGGTGATTGAAAGGGACGTGACAAAATTCCGTGGATATTTTTATAAAGAGTTTAAGTAAAACAAAAGCAGAAGGCAATTCTTCCATTCTGCTAACAAAGATTATTTATTCCCAAAACAACAATTTGAGTAGGAAAATGTTAACAAATTTAATTATAATCAGGAATTAGACAGGAAAGCATCTGATCACTACCCTTTTTAAAGTATTGCTTTAACAATGTGAGAAAATGAACAATGTAAGAGAAAGAGCTGTTATGAATCCTTAAATGAGATAAAACCGCATATTTTGCTAATGTAATTGTATTTGTAGAAAACTTATCAGACTCAAGAGGAAAAGCATAAAATCAATAAAACTTTACGAGATGGCTAGATAAAAAAATAAAAACATAAACATCAAAATCCAAATAGGAAAGGCATATCATATATAATATTGGCCAACCTATAGAAGACCAGGCTAAATATTAAAAAATAAATTTCAAAACCTAGATAAAGCAGTTATTCAATCTCTGCAGATGACATAAGAAATCAATGAAAGTACAAACATATTTTTAGATGGAAAGTTTCAATTTTTTAAGTCATTCAAGATGCTGCTCAAAGAGTACAAACTTGTAGTAAGGTGGCAGAATAAGTTTTATATGCAGGGTCATGCATATAAAAGTATACATAAGTATTCCAATATTAATATGTAAATTTAATATATTTACGATTAGAATCACATTGGTGTTTTGAAGGACCTTACTTTTTGGTTTTATTCCTGGATAAAATAACCTTAAATTCATTTACAAGAATATTTATGTGACAGTAACCAAAAAAATAAAGAAATAATAAATAATAGGAGTATTTTATGAGGAGCAGCTATCAGGTCACTATAAAAATATTGAGTAATATTTAGTATTAGTCGATCTTACATCACTAGGGTAAAATACCTGACCCCAGCAACCTAAAGAAGGAGATCTTTACATGGCTCACGATTTAGAGGGTTTAGTCTGTGGTTAGCCAGCTCCAAGGCAGAAATGGTGCAGGGAAGCAGCTGGAAGAAGAAAGCTACTCAACAAATGGCACCCAAAAAGGGGCAGAGAGGAGAAGAAGCTCTTCCATTCTGTACACCACCACCCCACCACCCCCAAACAGACCTTTTTTCCTAAGAGCCCTTTCTGTTCTAAACTCATCAATGGACTAATTCACAGATGAATATTATGCCCCATCATCAAATAATGCTTTTTTAAAGCCCTGCTTTTGAGTACATGAACATTTTGGGGGACATTTTAGATCTGAACGATCAGAGGCACAATAGGGAATCCAGAAACAGATTGCAGAGTATAAGAAAAGTTCATGCAGTGGTAGATCTCATAGAATAAGAAAAATATGTGAGGCTTTTTTTTTTTTTTTGCTTGTTTGCTTCTTTTAAAAAAATGATGCCAGAACACTTGATTCTCCAACTGGAAGAAAATTTAAAAATTGACTCCCATTTTATAGCATATATAATAGTGTTCAGACAGGATAGCTAGTATTATACAGCATAAAGTTATTATAAAACAACTTTGTGAGAACATGAAACAGACCTTACTAAGATTATAAACTCTGAAAATATGGAAAACTACATAAATACACCAAAATACCACAAAAAGTCATAAATATGGCCAAATGACCAAATATAAATACATGACAAAATACATTCCTAATTAATTCAGTGGGCAAAACTTAGGTCTGGAAAATTAATAAAAACCTAGGTCACAGTTAAAGAGTTAACCGAGAAAGTAAAGCCCACACAAATGTACACAAATTGTCAACAGAAATATGCAAAGAATGTGAGAGCACAAAATAACACAAGAAACAGCTTATAATTATATGAAAACAGCCTATAATTGCATGAAAACACGCTCAACTAGAGAAGCAAATCAAAATAATATCCATCAGGCTGACAAAAAGTTTGGAAGAAATTTTACCTTTCATTAATGTACATGAAAAGTGTACAGCTGAGCATGGTGGCACAGGCTTGTAATCCCAGTACTTAGGAGGCTGAGGCAGGAGGAACATTACAAGTTGAGACCGGCCTGGACTACATAGTGAGCCCAAGGCCAGCCTGAACTGCAGAGCGAGACCCTGTCTCAAAAAGACCAAAAAGACAAAAAAAAAAAAAAGATGTACAATGTGTGTGTGCATGTGTATTTCAGCACAAAGGCCAGACTTGATTTAAAGACCCTGGTTTTGCTTATAATGTGATGAATCCCTGTACTCAGTGTATCAGCTGACACCCACGTGAGATTCTGTCCACAGCTCTGGTGCAACTGTGAGGAAATTTGTTTGTTAATTCTGCCATGCAGTGTCGGGGAAAATGATGAGTGTCTTAGGTTGAGCTCTGAGAAAACAAACTGCGGGGTGGATGTCTGGGTGCAGATTTTGCTGAACATTCTCAGGATCCACATCTTGAGAGAGGGAAGGGTGGAGTTAGTGTCTGGTAAAGGGAGGAGGTGAATAACAAGACAAGGGCCTCAGTGGACCCCGATGCGGACGCTGGAGCTTGACCGCATCTCAGGAGTTGCTCCAATTCAAGGCAATGAAGTGCACTGCCCACCTCAGGCATTCGCAGTGTGGGGGTTCTCTGGGGCTCACACGAGAACTACTACAGCAAACACGGAAGCCTTTATTTAAACCACAAAGTGGTATAACTGTTACTCATTAATAAAAAGGAAGACAAAGCACACTAAATCTTACTTGTGAGATGAAACCTACATATTCGTTAAACCAACACGTTTTTATTACTTCTTAGGGTCATGGTGTCCACTGTCAGAGTGTGGACATGTCCTGATTTACCTTGCACAGTCACAGGGGAATGGAGCAGAGTCACTGCTGAATAACTCACTTACAGTGAAGCACTCACCTCTATAGGACCAAACAAAGGCATTGAAATTAGATTTCTAAATGCAATTGTTATAATAAGAAAGGACAAATATCCAATATGAATTGGAAATGAAATTACATACAAGACTTAGAGATTCAAGTGCACCTCAGTATCAGGAAACCCAGAATGGGAGAATACTGGTTTAAGAAACAGAAAAGAGGGGCTGGGGATTTAGCTCAGCGGCATAAGAGCCTGCCTTGCAAGCAGGCAGTCGTGAGTTCGATCCCTGGTACCGATAAAAAGACCAAAAATGAGACAGAAAAGAGAACTGTTTGTAAAAAAAAATAAATAAATAAGAGAATCTTTCCAAATATCTCTTCCAGAACCTTATCACAATGAGATGAATCAAAGATCAATCGAAGCATTACTTTGAAGGAACCTAACCATTGCTTAGAGAAAGATACTGTTGTATTAAAATTATAGGAAAATGCCTTCACACTTAATAGCTTCTGGTGCTTTCCCATGACTCTGTTCCCTTTCCCGATGACAGTATATAAGATAAATCAGGATAGGTTCACACTTTGAAGGGTCGCGTTGCTGCTGTTCTCCAAACAGGTCATGGAATTCATTTCTACGTGATTCTGCGTCTAATCGTGATGTTTCCCCTTCCTTCCTTTACTCCACAGTTCCTGCCTTCCTCCTTTCCTCCTTTCCTTTGGTTCCTTCTTGCTTCCCTTCTTCTTCCCTTCTCTTATTCCTATTCTACTATTTAAGTAAATACAGTTTTAATGTTTGAGGAACCACTTTTTAAAAAATACTTAAGCCAGATGGTTCCAAGTAACCTGCATGTGCTGGGTTCTCTGCGTAGATGAGATCAGCGGGAGGGCTAGGGTGTTCCCTGCACCAGGCTGTGTGCCTTGGGTTTGATCACTGTGTTCATTAGTGGCTGGCAGAGCATAGCTAGCTCTGAGCATTAGGTGGGAGGCGTTAATGAACTTGAAGAGGGGGTGTGGGTGGAAAATGTGCCCAGGAGCCTTTTTTCTCTCCTTCCACCTCTGTGTCTACAGCCATGAAAAATCCTTACAACAGAACGTTAATTATAGGTTTGCTAACCTGTGGCTGGAGCTGTGAAAGCTTGGGAGCAGCTTGTGGTGTTAATTTGCTGTTACTTTCACGTGGACCCCCGCTTCTGTGATACTCAGCTGACACAG